CGCATTGAATCTTGTAGTTTGTGTTTATCATATTTTATGTGTTACTGTTAACGAGTTAATAATCTTTTGCTTTTGAAGGCTTTGCCCGCATATGTGAGCGCAAATTGGCTCTCACCTGCACTTTTAAAAGCAAGACAGAAGAAGTTGCGTTTACTGAAACGCGCTCCGCAAAGATTATTGACAAACTTCGCCAGACCTGTTCTTGATGATGCCTTAATTGTCTAATTTCCTTATTATCACAATGTCAGATTGATTAAATTGAATCTGTTCGTAAGCTCTTCATACTAGTTGCGCTGCGTTGCTTTCATGTCTATTTCATGCTTCCTTTAACATTTTGCAAACATAGTTTGAACAGAACTACAAAAAGGTCAACAAAGTCGCAAAGCTTTGCTACTTAGCACTCTCGTTTACAACAAAATTGATGTCGGCGTGAATGCTACGCAATACCAAAGTCCATGTAAAACCACAAAAAAAGTCGTAAGAAAACACATAATGCTCTCTTATGATTGATAAACGTTCACAATGCCAGAGTATACAGTAGGCTAATAAGGCTTAGATACAGTAAGTTTATCTTATTAGAAACTGCATTTATTGAGGGTTGAGGATCAAAGAATATCTTCCTTAATAAATAAAAACTTACATTAAATAAAAATTCACGATTTTTTTTTTGATCTTAGAAACTTTTAGCACAAAAAAAATTTACTTCAACTCACAAAAATATCACAAAACAGGTGTACATACATACAACTTATTTTGCAGGTTCATCTAAAACTATTTTTACACGAAATTTAATTTAACACGACTTGAAAAGAAAAAATTTTCTTTTTACACGAATTGCTTTGTTTTAACACGATTTTCAATATTCTATAAATTTTATTTATGAATTTCGTTTAATGAATTATTCTGATGTTATTTTTTTCTTTCTAAAGTTTCTATGAATTTTTGCATTCTCACTCCTCGCAAATATACATTGTAACCTCGCGTCATGTTTTTCACAATTCGATTATATGCGTAAATGGATGGCGTTCCTCGAATTATGCATAGAGTAAAGACGTAAAATATTTTTTGCACAATTTACTTTGATTTTTTAAAGCATAATTTATTTTTCTACAATATTTTTAATAAAATAAAATGTGGAAGCACGAAATAAATTCTTAATTGAACTCTAACACGAACTTCTTAATATAGTTTATAGTACTTTTCAGTCGCTTTTTCAAGTCTAGTATCAACTACTATTTTTCATTTACCGTTTTTTACTTGTATTTTTAAACGATTTTTTTACACAAATTTTATCATGTTTTTTTTACACGAATTTTTTGAGAATATAGCCTTCGTGTAAAGCGGGAAATCTTCTTTCTTCATTTAAGGTGCATCCCAACTATGGACAACAATGGACACTTTTTATGTTTTATCAACTACTTAGAAATTTACGAAACTAGCTTTCCTCATATAAAATTCAAAGGAGAGCTTCAACATACACATACACATATAAAATATACGAACACAGAACTTTGCGTATGAATGTGGAAAACAAAAAAAAAATAAGAAGAAGAAGAAACAATAACAACAACATCACCAACAACATCAATAACTGTAGCCGCAAGAGTTTAAAGATAATAAAGCCAATTATGGTAAAGAATATATAACCAAAGGATAACTAGTAAATAGCATTAGAATAATACACTAAAGATACAAAAACCACTCTAAAGTCTAATGTTTACACGAGCTTATATCATCCTTTATCTTGGTACGACAAATGGGGTAAATATAAGTTAAGTATCACTGTTTGGTTCGGTTGCAAATCTCATAGCCATCCTACGTGGATAACTTTATCGGAATAGAGCAGACGTCTTTCGTATTAAGCTGTTCTGAAGTTTAAAAGGGAGCGAAGAAAATTTGTTTGGAAAAAACCAAACATCCGTTTTGATGCGGAAAATTAACTTTCTGTCTTTCCTCTCTAACTACACTTAGTTGTTGCTACATCTGTCTTACATTTACTCTCAATTATTGAACACTGATATCAATCACTGACTGATTCAATAACTTTTTATCTCTGCCAACTACGTACACATATCTATTTATTTATTACACTTTTAAAGCCTTATCGCACTAATACAGACAACAGAGAGCAAGTTTTGCAAAAGGTCGCAGATTAACCCTTTCACCTCTCCTTCTTTTAATAGGTTAGTGTATTCAATATCAAATGATATTCGTTGTCTCTTGCAGATTTATGAAATCCAAGCAGGAGATAGTCGTCCCCTGCTAGCACAAATTTGCCGCGATTTATATCAGCAGCGACACACATTTAAAATTCAAAATCTCTTAAAAGAGCGCAACCTTCTTGCCGATCATATCGGGAAAATTTTAAAACGTCGTCTTAATGATTTGATAATGTGCCGAACCCGAACCAATCATTATATTATATTTTCCGATTATATGTGCACGTATGGGATGTTACCTTGGCATACCGTAAATTATATGTGCAAAGACTTTTAGCGATAAAATCAATTAAATTGTGCTTTTAAAAATTGTGATTAGCATAGCAAAAGATATAAGTCACATGTAATGATAATACTGAGTTTGTAAAATTAAAGAAATGCAAATAAATTTATGACGTAGTTTAACGGAAATGGATAATAAATATAAGTAATTGGACATTGGAACAAAGATAGGACAATATCCGAGTAGGGTCCAAAAAACAACAATATAATCTTAAGTAAAACGGAATCTTGGCCGTGTTGAAGAGCACACCACCACTAATTTTTTCCTCACTGTGGTCGGCGATTTTTTTTTTTAACAAATTTTCTTGTTGAATCATTCACTATGCCTTCGCTATGGAATTTCTGGAAATTTTGGACAGAAAGCGGTTTTATTTGCTAAAGATTTTACACAATCTGCATATAACGCACGAAGTAAATAGTAGGGGTATAGGAGAAATTGTTCGGGCAATACGGTGAATATAGTACACGCTTCCCACTCAAGCAGTCTAAACATTTACCATTAAAAATGTATATGGTCCAGCCACATCGTGGTAGAGAATGACATTTTTGTGATAAATTTTTGATGGTTCACCTCAACTATTCTGTTGATAACTCAAAGGGAAATCATGCATTTAGTTAGGGTAGCTCATTCCATTCCCTTCGTAGCGAACACAAAGCGTTATTCGGGGCCTTTCCATCGCATGTACAACTTGATTCATCTTCAATTGTTTTCGCACATTGTGGTCCTTTATATCCATTTTTCATCTCACATTATCAAATTCTTCAAAAATGGTTCCGTTTCGTTTTATTTCAGCAGCGCTTCGCAAATGAATTTTCGATCTATTAAGCTTTTCATAATTGATTCGAGCTGCTTACGCAAATGGTTTACAAAAGTTTTCCATCAACCTCCAATTTCGAAGCAATGTTACAAGATGAAATATTCTGGTCATCTTCAATTCTTTAAGGAAATCCATCGACGATCGATTTACCCGATTTACACGAAGACAGCGCGTCATTTACATCGAAATTTCCATAGATAGAAGAGCCAAAAACGTAACATGATGCTAATTTTGATAAGTTATCTTTACCATACACACCACGAGTGTTGTTTGTACCACTGGGCAAAGTGTTATTGTCTTGGTCGAAGTGATATTGTGAAATATAGCGAATTTTTTTCAAAATTCTTGCTCATTTTCAAAACCCAATTGCTTTCAACTCAATCCTTTTCTTTAATTATCTAAGGAATGATATTTTTCACTAGCGGTACGTATGACTATATATGTCTGCATGGCTGGTGGAAATGCAATCAATGTAAGAAATATTAAAAATTAAGGCAAGCGAAGGTTCTAAGTGAAGTTTCTGAAATTGATTTTCAACTCCTCTGTCAGCCTTTTGTCTTTTTAGTCTTTAGAGTTAGATCGTTTAGCGGTGTCAGTTAGCCACATCAGAAGAAGAGCAAAATGGAAAACAGAAACTAGTCTAGATAGCCTCATCCAAAGCTTCATGTGGCCGCCCTTGCCGGATTTCAGCTGAAAATTTTTTATTTCGCTTGGAAATAGTTTAGCATTACTTACCTCTGTGTTGGAACTTAGTTAAACTAGCACCCACCATCCTAATCGAAGGAAATGAGAGGTCAAAACGAGGAACAATTTCAAGAAGAAAACCATTTATAATGCGCCCATAAATAGTTTATAAAATGATAATAAATTTGTATGTAACGCACACGAATTTTATTGCAGAAAATTACTGATAACTATTTGAAAAAATTTGACGTTTAACGTAATTTTGTCGCTAACATGTACAGCAAACACTCTTCTCTATTTTCGTGCAATAGGAAACAACTTTATAATAACTTTTTTATAGGGTATAACACTTTTTCGTTAAGTTATAAGTGACATATCTAAAAGCTCGTACAAAGAGCTTTTACTTGTGCTTTCATTCTATATGAGTAACTGCAATCATAATATCCGCTTTGCAATCCTGCTTTAAGCTTTGAAGTTTCTCAACTGGTTAAGTAACGTTTTCAATATTTTGATAATCAAATCTTTTAAAGGCGCTTGAGTTCAAGAGAGTTTTTTAGACATTTATTTCATATATATTGAAATTTTTTATAAACATATTAATACATACATACATACATACATACATACATACTATTACATACATACATATTTACTGGCAACTAATCAACAAAGCAAGCAAATTTATCAATATACAATCAACATATTTACATATGATTACCGAAAAATAAAACTTTTTTTTTTTGTTGTAAACAAAATCGTTTTAGTAAAGAGTTTGTTTTCTTTCTTAACTCAAGTTAAAAGTAATAAGTAATAAGAAATTCTTAAAAAATAATTTCAGCAATTTTTTCTGCACTTATATATCTAAACGTGACCTAGAAGTAAAATCGAGTAACATGTACAGTAGCATGAGTGCGTTGTGGGTGAGGATTCGTAGCGTTTCTGGACAGAGAAAAATGAGAATTTTCTTCTTTTTTCTTTTTTTTTGTTATCAAATTTGTTCGCATCACTTTGTTTATTTCCGCGTGATATGTTATGTGAGCGTTGCAAGTTGTGCCTCAGTGATATTCCAATCTTGCTCTTGGATTACCCTGATCATCGACGAAAAATACTACAACTTTACGTTTCTTTTTATTGGCAGCATAATTTTTCATCGCATCTGCACCTGGCGAAAGATTTTTCGTTGTTGTTAGAGATGCTACTGTTGTTTTAGTACCAGTAGCTGTTATTGTACCATATCTGGTCTCCGTTGTTTCCGTTGTTTGAGTCGTTGTTTGATTGATAATTAATTTTTCCTTTTTATGTATTGTAGCATTTTTCGCTTCCAAATTTGATGCACTCGTTGTTTTTAATTTATTTTTTGATATTGCTGGTGTTGTTGTTTTCCTTTGAATTTCGTTGTTTTTCTTTAATTCGGGAACATGATCATGTTTTGCTAGCGAACTTTTAGGCGTATGTTCGACATTGATTGTTCTTGATTTATCAGATAATTTACGTATAATTGGTTTCATTTCCGGTGGCGGTTGGGAAACTTTTGGCAACGGTGGTAAATCTGGCAGCTTACATTTACCTTTCAAGTGTTTATAGGCCGAAAACACACGTTCCACTAAACGATTGACATATTTTGTGGCAGTGCGATCTAATACCGATGGTGCTTTAATACAGTCATTGCCACCAAATTCGCAAACCTTCAAAATTAACAAAACAATATAAATTAAAAACAAGTAAGCAATCAGCTGATGTCGAACGTTAAATAGCCTACACTGGACTACTTCGTGCCATATATCTCTTCATTAATCGTCAAATTATATATTATTTCCATATAAAGGGATCATTTTTATCAGAACAAAAAATAGATCCACGGAACCCAAACGAGTTTTATCGAGTCATATTGAAAAATGTGTTTTTTTTTTTGTTAAAGTAACATCTTTTGCAAGATAAAGCAAGAGTAAGCGTAAAAACGCTCAATTGCTGATTCGATTTGAGTAAGAATCATTCTTCTGACAAAACACATCATTCTACGTGAATCCATCAAACTCTCATCTCTCCCATCAACCAATAGAATACATCGGTAGACACCAGCCGAACGGAAATATGGACTTACAAGCTTAAGTCGTTCATCGATAGATATAATGAAAGCTTAAATTTTTTTCGTAAATCCTCCTGACTGTCGCATCATACATTCATTCACAAGCTTAATATGGACTGTGAGATAATTGGTCACTTTTCTTACCCGATAATGCTGCAATATGGCTTCGGTAGGAGGGACGTTAAGGGAACCTCTTCCTGGTATAAATTCCCAAACAAAATGATTACCCGCCTCTACGACAGCCTCGGGCTTGCAAATATATTTTGAACGTTGTTTCTGAGGATGCAGCTTGTAGCGCCTAGAGGTAGACAAAAACATATTAAAATCTCGAATTCCTAATCATGCAAAGCTTTTGATTACCGTCTTGTCTTTCTTTGTGTAACCAGAGATGCCCTTAGTTTGGCTAATTCACTTGGTACCGCACTTGTGAAATGGCTGACTAGAGGATCATCGGCAAATTGCAGATAGAAGAAAGCATTTTGAAATGAATACGCTCCAGCGTTCCGATTGCGAAAGCGGTAGGATAAAGAACTTCAAAAATCTTAATAAATTTTTGTTTTTTAAATTTTGCCATCAAACTAACTTGATCAATTCAATCAGCGTATCGTTATATCGAGGTACAATAAATTCATCCAAATCTACTAAAGCTAAATATTTATAACGGTACATGCTCCGATACAAGCAATCGTTTAAGGCGGCAAACAAGCCCTCGGTGCGTATTTCTTTTTGCGATCGCATACGTAAATTCCAAGGCAAAATCTGTATAGACGGCTTCATATAATTGAGGCTGCTCAGTTTCCTTACCGGCACTGAGGTAGTTTCAGTAGCCGTAAATTGCGTTGCCAATGCTCCTGTGAGAGGGCTATCTGAAGTATTTAGCGATTCAGAAATAGTCACTAGTGCAAAATTTTCAATAACTGCTTACCTTCAAATTTTGGTATGTGAATTTGACTGACGTTCGCTTCTACATCGGAGGCTGTTGATTTATCTGGTACATCGCCTGTAACGTAGTGCTGTAGTACACAATCGGCTTGGGGTCCAATAGTGTGATTATAAAATGTAAAATGCGACACGCCCAATAAAGCGTAAAATTCTAAGTATTCTATCAGGTATAGAGCCTGATCATAATCAAAATGAAACGGCTTTACACAAATAGCCAATTTTTCAGGTATATGGTCCTCGGGCGCAAATTTTGTTAGATCTAAAGTTGTTGTGGGCGAATTCAGATTTGATTTTGATTCCGTTTTATTTCGCTTCGATTTGTTATTAAATTTCTTGAAGTCTGGATCAAAATCGGTATTACGTAATTGCAATAAATTACCAGGTGGGGCTCTTAAACGCGCTACTATACTGATATGTTGCGGAACATCATAATCGGGTGTACGCACTGGACACAAGATAAAGCATGCACTATATTTAAGATTCCAATTTTCTCTGATGGCCTGAAAAAATGAACAAAAAGAAAAACAAAAAAAACAAAAAAATGATTTTCAATTATGTTGCTAAACTAAAGTAAACCTTTACCATTAGTTACCTTCACCCTTGCCATCACTGTTACGGATTTATACAAGTTTCTATGTTTCAACAACTCGTCATCGGTTTTGTGATTTGTTGCGGTTGAATTATTTCTACTACGCGTTGGTATGTACCACAACCTGCACCATACACGTTCTGGTCCTCTAGTCTTCGTCGCCCCCACCACACGTATCAGTTTTGCATCATCTCGACGGTCGTAATAAGCAGAGAAAACAAAAAATTTAAAACGTGTACCATTAACTATTTGCCAAGAGCCATCGGTTGGCAACATGCCAAATGGATAACGTGGCAGTGTCTCTTCTACTTTACTTGGTAACATTTTGCCCCAAGGTATTAAAGGACCATTACCACCTAAGCCAGTGCCACCACCCAAACCGGCGCCAGCATATGCATTGCCCACCGCAGCTGAATTCAACAATACTCCCGCCAAACGCCCACCAATGCCACCGCCAGCATCATTGCTTTCGGCATCTAACGTATTACGAATTCATCAAATAGAATTCATCAAGTAAATGCATTGAAATGAAAAAGTAAAAGGCTGGCTTTATGCTTATTTTTCGAAAAAGAAATTTCATATTTTAGGCATACCTTGAATTTTAAATTTATTGTCTTGAAGTTGTACATAACCTAACTTATTATCATTTAGTAAGCTGGCATCGATTAGATCATAATCATCCTAAATAAAATTTCATTTAATAATTATGCGTTCATATTAATTATTTAATTGAATATACCTTAACATTATCATAATCGGGCATAGAGTCGCCCATACGATTACCATAACCACCACCGCCACGTAAAATCATACCACCATGAGCTCGTTCATCGATCATAAATATCTGAAACGTTTCATCATTAATAAATAAAAATTACATACGCATAACTACGAATTTTGGATATTCGTCTACTAAGAAAATAGACGAAAGATCGGCATATATTTCTTTGTTACACCGTCTTTCTTACTGACAAGTCAAAGGATATGATAACATTGGAAATTTTTTGGGTTTATTTCCAGGTCGATCAATACTATTCTTAAGAATCCCGTTCGGATCAAGCTTTTTCTGCTATTGTTGACCAATAAAATATTTGAACAGCAGAGATACGGAGTCAAATTCCCAAGCTGATCAGAAATCTACATATATATAGTAAATTGATCTCAAAAGTATGTAAATTTCTAAATGTTACAAAAGTAATGTCAACAACCGAATTATTTTGTTATTGTAAAAATTATTTCTTGCTCAGTTAGTTGCTAAGTTAATTGCTAGGTTAGTTGACAAGTTTTCCGGTTGCCATTTTTATTTTAATTCGTAAGTGAGTTCTTTTTTTTTTTTTTTTTTTTTTTTTTTCTTATAAAATTCTCACCTCTGTTAATATGATTAAGCCGAACACAGCAAAGAAAGCGATAACAATTAAAAAACTCATTCCTGAACGCTCACGAGTGCCCCAGTTATGCTTTTTGTTGCGTTTGGAGGCCGTCAATGACGTTAAACCTGAACGACTTGCATTAGCAGCGCCATTACCACTGTTATAATGTAGATGGTGATGATGATGATGATGATGATGTGAATGATTATGTTGTAGTTTATTGTATTTCATAATTGCAAAATGCGACTTCTCAGGAATTCTAAAGAAACAAAAAAAAAAAGGAAAAAAAAGAAAATGTTTTGAATACATATACATACATATATTATGCACATTTTATTATTTACTTCAACGACCACTTACCATAAGCAAGTGTAGGCAACAATTGTTTACATTTTCACAGGTAAACATAAACAGAGAGTGCTGCCGGTTGAATTGAGTATGCAAGAGAGTCAAGAGCATAAACAAGGATGTTGTTGCCTTTTGTCAATTTCAAGAAAAATCAATATTAACAATTTGAAGCAGCTATCAGACACAACAAACTAAATTCTTTTTATTAACATACTAAAATTTATTTAATAAAGTAATTAAGAATTTTTTTGTTTATTTTTTATTTTTTTTGTTTTTACTTTATGCCTTTTAAAGTGAAAGTGTTTTGTCGCTCTTAAAGAAACTAGTTAAAATTCACAACTTATGGAAGATATATATTTAAAAAACCTATTTTCGTAGGATTTTTAGTTAGTTTTTTGAAATCACAGTTAATGTGTTAGGATTTTTAGGGCTTTTGCTTTTGCTTTTGCTTTTCTTTTTTTCTTCGACTGCAGGACAATTTGGTTTTTGAGTTGATTGTAGATTTTTCAATTATTATTATTATTTATATTTATGAATTCTCTTCTTTACACATATATCGTGCTGCAGTAATTTTCAACAACTGTCAATACTTTCCTGATAATTTAACTATTATTCTCAAGTTACTGGTATAAAAAGCAAAGGACATGCGTCAAAGAGAGAGAGTTGCCAATGTGATAAGCAAAACTAGAACATGATGTGCAATAAGGAATATTCGACGAAAAAATAATGCAGAAATCATATGCACTTTGATTTTAAAAGGTATCCTACCTATAAACTGTACTCACATATATGAGATATATGAGCCGAACTGACCCCAATTCAAAAGTTAAACGTGCTTCTACCTAAAAGAATGTTACACTGTATATCTATTCATTCTGCTTGTAATAAATTCAAATTGGGTTTCATTTCACTTGCATGAAAGCTGCTAGCAGCTGCAACTATTTTATACATAAAACTTAACATAAACTAACTTAAAAAGCACATGAGGGCTGTGTCAAAAAACTAAAGAAAAGCCTTAATGCTAAGAGTAATGCTGAAGTAAAAGTAACGGAAAAATACGAATAAAGTAAATTAAGGAGCTTAGCTTGTGAATTGGCAGTTACCTTAAAGAGAAAATGTGTTGTAAATAAAACTGTTGCACTGACATCGACAGGAAGAAAAATAAAAAATCATACTTGGCCTTGTACTTAGACAAATGCAAAAGAGGGAAATTTCTAGGCTTCCTACACTTAGCAAGAACGATAAGATGTTACACAGACATCGCCATTCTAAACAAACTTTAATCAAAAATCTGACATCCCGAGCCAGCCATCTTCTCTTAAGAGAGCATAAGTCAACTTAAAAGAGTCCCTTGCTCCCTTATGCCTTGTAATGTATTTTCAATATCTGCATATAGCATCTATAGTTTGGAGATCACATAATTGGGATGGGTTCAATAACAGGCTTAATCGATCGCAGATATATCACACTCACTCTAGAGCATTGGCTTACACTTGAGTGTGTTTAAAGACTTACGACCCTTATCGCACTATTTTAGCCAAGACAACAAACGAAATTAAAGAGATCACAAACGCCTAATATTCTTCAAGGATAAGAAATAACTTCGGGCTATCAAGACGCACAAGTATGCAGGAATGAACAACCACTGAGAGAAGATCATCTACGAATGGCAAGAAGCCAAATGATCACACTAAGGCTCTCTAGATCTTACATTGCAATCTCTAAGAAGGGTGGAATTAACAAAAACTTTTTAAAAGAGTCTGAAGGGAGCCTTTTCAAAAGAGTAGATAAAAAGCCTATTTTACATAATCCGTACATAAAGAAGGAATGACATACTTGTCAAATATGGGTGTGTAAGATCAGTAAAAATAGCTTCAGCTTTTTTTCCACATATGAAAGCAGTGAACACTTGACAAGAGAATTCCAAAAAATCCGTGACACTTGATTTACCACCAATCAATCAGTCAAACTGATACCCACGTAAATAGTCTTTTAAAGAATTTCGGCAATATTTAATTTCGTAATGCGCAGAATATTCGCAGCTAAGAAAGAGACAAATTTAAAAATTCTCAGAGTTCTTTTAATGAGAAATCTACCAAATTTCATTTTTTTAAGAATGCAGAAGATGGTAAGATATCACGTCCGGGCATATAAAAAAAATTGTAATTCTCGCAAGCAATCAATAATTTCAGATCCAAAAAACTTAATGTTGACAAAAATGTTAAGATTGATAAGCTCCAACATTAGAAACTACATCACTGCACGACCAAAATTACTCAAAATAAACCATAAAAACGCAATGTCGGTTCGAAATTATTCAAATATATCTTGAAGAACACTACTCTTGAAATTCCAATTACGCAAATAATCATTTTGGCAGTATCATGAGTAAGGCATCTCTGTTCTGGAATAGTGAAGGGGACGCACGTAAACGGAAAGTCGCGCTTGCCCCTTTTTTTGTAATTTCAATTTACTTGTCGTACTAATAGTTCAGACATTGTTTTTACTCTCTTGTTCAACTCTTGTCTTAGAAAAAGACACTTTCCTGAGAGCTCTTTTTAATTCTCTTGCACAAAAACGGTGCCAGAAACCATGTCAAAAATTATAAAGGAATTGCTAAACTTTGTGTCCTACTTAAGCCGTTTGAAAATATTTTAGCAGAACAGACTGTGGCCGCCATAGGGGTTTACTTTATCATCCTCTCAGCCAGCTGGTATCTTATAGAGGATTCTCTGTGAGTAAACGAGCCGATGTTGTTGACACAGAGCTTTTCACAGGGATGATCATAAGTTCTTTTTATTTTACCGCAACGGTTCCCTACTAATTTAGTTGCTTGGCTTAAGTCTTTTGTGACTAGCGGTATACAACGCGTGTTGTTCACTTCTTGTACATCACGGTCTATATAATTCACATCTGGGTTACTGCATGTGAGTCACTTGAGTCCGCTAGTTTTTCATTTATTTATTAATGAATGCGTGCCAGCTTCTAATTTGCAAATATTTGCGAATGATGTAAAGTTACTTTCCGAGCTTTATACTTAAGGTAAATATTTTCAAATGTGGTTTTCGATATACACTACTAATTGCAAAATATTACCAAATAGCGTAGAAAAGTATTATTTGAAAGATTATCGCATGCGATAAGTATGATGGGATGCAAGTGGCATTGAGGCAAGTGAGTCAGTGGATCTTTGCTTTCGCCTGCAATCATATAGCATCCCCAAACTCTTATTTAACGTGAATGGATCTATCCACAGTCTTATTGTACTTAGCTCTCTGTATAACTTCACACTCAATGTAATACGAGAATAATGTAAGGCCTCTTAGAGATATCAACAATTGTTTGTAAATTACAACTTCCACGCGAATGCAGCCTTTCAAAATCAATTGAAAGCGAAAAAAAAAGAAAAGGAAAAACAAGAAAATTGAAGAAAAGGCATAGAGAGGGAGGGAAACTTTTGTTTTTAAAGTAAATTTATTGCAATTGGTATTATTTCTTACAAGGAAAATAATCATGTTTGAAATGTTAAGACAGTAGCAAACAATTGATAATTGCGTGCAAGAAAACATAATACCTAGAAGGAGAGCACTCCTCAATTCGCACCTATTCTTACATACACATGTGTAAAATTCATATTCATTCAAGTATTTTCTTATTCTTAGGGGAAAAGTTTGTTCAAGCAGCAATTTTCATAAAAAGTTAGATGAAATGGGAGGCAATAAAGAAGTATCAATAAAAGATCATAAAATAACAATTGTATTAGCAATGCTTTTCCAATTCATTACATACGTATGTATGCAGAGAGGAAGGAAAGCAAGCAACACATGCGGAAAGGTCAAAAAAGTTTTATGAAAACTTTATGTTTCTTTTTCTTTTTCTATTTTTTTTTTTTTTTTTTTTTTGTTTTTCCATAAAAACTAGAAATTTATTGCTGGCAAAATTGTTTTTATAACAAATGCACTATTGCTAAGAAGCTAGCATGCAAACGGAATCATCTGTCGAGTGTTTAATATGTGAACAAAGAGGCAAAAAAGAGCAACGACGACGATAGAGAGTTTTTCTTTTCTATCTATAATTCACAAATAAATTTTTTATTTGTTTGCCTAAATAGCATGAAGCATGAAATTACTCAGTATTCAGCAATCATGCAAAAACAAAAATATATGTTTACATTTCTTTTGTTATAATTCGGGAATTCTTTAAATCATTATCTCAACTTTATTATTGATTACTATTGATTTAGGTTTCCGTGCAAAATACTTTTACAAGTAAGTTTACATTCTTCTTTGCGTACTGTCCACGCTTTAGCTTTGTTGTGTATTTTTAGTTTATATTCAAATCTCACTATGTTGCCTGAGCATTTTTTTGTTCTGTTCATCCGATTGTCAAAAGCATAAAATTTGCTTCTAGGTCAAATTAGCCACACTTGCGTATTTACTCATCTAATGATATGACCAACGTCACCAGTCGTTACGTAACGCGATCTCTTTCCTCGGATTCGTTTTCACTGTCCTCGGACACTCACTATATTCAGCTTTCTTCCTTGATTATATTTCTCTACATAAACTACTACACTTACGATCCAATTCTGGCATTGTTAACGCTCAACTGTCGTAAAGTTTATGTTTGCGTTTTCCTGCCATCGCTTCTGTATCTTCTTTGCATGAAATTTAGTATTCTGAACAAAAAGTGAAGAGAACGGTCTGCAATATTGCAAGTTTGCGTCCAAATGAAAATCATGAGATAAGATGTACAAAAAACAACATAGCGTTAAAAACGATAGCAAATTGAAGATAAATTATTAATATATTAATTTAATATAATAATAATTCTTATCCGTATTCTAATGTCTTAGCAATCCTTTATGCAGCAATCTAAGGCAATTTTTTGTTAGTAAACGAATTAATAATAAAAAAAATTACTTTGTTTATTAAACTACCTTTGCTTGTTTTCTACAAACTTGCTTAAAAAAATATATTGCAATTATTTTTTCTTCCATTTTCTGCATACTTCTTCCTTGAATAGTTTTCTTGCATTTTTAAAAACTTGTCTTTTCTACCATTGCATTATACTCTATTACTCCTGTTAAAATTTCCTGACATTATGATTATTTCTTTACGAGCTCCAATGATTGAATTCCGATGATGAGTAAAAATACCGTCCAAAATTAGTATTGCCTTGAAGCACATTCTCCATCGAAAACATAAATTTCTAGGTAATTGGTAATATTAAACAAAATCGTGTGAACATTGATAATGCTGAAGGCAATAGACATCTCAAAAAGGTGATTACTACAGAAAACGTTAAACAAAACCTTAACGTTACTCTCAA